TGATATGACTGCCATAAAACTTTTACTCTTCTTCAACAAGGTCACTATGGAATTGTTTTAACTAAGCATTCAATGAAATAAATGGAATTATTTATCCCTAGGACCATACTACACCTCCTCATGGAAATGCACACTTAATAAGGCTAACCGAAAAGATAAAATTGTCAGCTCTAAAACTATTAGCTAAGGTAAAAGATCATTTCATCATTTATATTAATAACAAGGACTTAACAATTCAGGATGTGTCATATTAAATGCTGCTGTTCTTTGGTGGTTTCAAATTCTGATGAAGTAAATCTGGTTACTTCAGTAATAATCTCTCAATCATCCCTCATTAGCCATTTGTCAGCATTCCTAAATAACTTGTAATATAAAGAAAAACAATATAAAAATCAAGGCACTGTAATTACTCTTCCCCAGATGTATATAATACAGACCATTCAGAGCATGCTATCCCAAACTCCTCAATATTCTACAACATAGAATTAGAAAACTATCATTTATTGATAGATTTAAGGTGTAATACAGGTTTCCAAAAATGTGGCAGTGAGAATACCAGCATAAAAAAGAGAAACTTGTGCTAAAAACAACCTGAATTCATCATTGGCAATATTACATAACAATCAAAGCCCTCACATACTAATGGTTTCCACTTTGTCTATATTGCCAACCTCCCATGCATCAGAAAAAAAAAAAAAAAAATTATCAAACTTGGGAAGCAATAAAGTACTCTATGAGTTTTAAGATCATAATATTAGGAAAGTTTGGTTGATTTGCAAAATATATCCTCATCATCCACGTGTACAATCTCATTTCTAATCATTTTTGCAGTGATCATTAGTGAATAAAGAACAAATTTACAACTTTATATAGCAGGGCATCTGGGTTCAACACAAAACTGTTACAAATTTTAGGTAAATACATATTTCATAAGACACTGCTAACATTTAAAGGAATTAAATAAAATTCCAAATCTTGGAAAGCAAATAAAGACAAGACAACTAAGAAGCATTTTCCACCATTTACTCTTGTTATCAAAAATAGTTCAACTCTTCTTGCAAAACAAAAACAAAATAGTACATACTGGACACATACATCACATTTTTCTTCCTATGGCTTTAGCCCACCCCCACCCCACCAAAAGAGACCAAAAACAAAAAACAAAAACAAAAAAAACCCAACGACAACAACAAAAACAACTCTACCTGACCACATTCACAGAAAATGACACCAGGATACACTACAAAACAGAAGGAGGTGTCATCTGCTCTGTGTCCAAAGGTTTCTTCTCCATGTATTGTACTAGGCGAGTAACCATCACTGAACATGCTGTGTGCCAAATCAAAACATAACTTCAACATATGTCAGATCTTACTAGAGATGGTGAACGTAGTAGAAATTGGAAATGTTCCAGCAGTATTTTTCTTTAAATAAGCACTGTCAAAGCTGCAGCTCTTCTTTTAAATCATAGGTTATTTCATTATATCTAGTCAGTCCTTGTTTTATTTGGGCTGTGCTCTTTCAAGCAACTGACTAGACTTCCCTTCAACAGAATGTTTGTGACTCACTTGTCTTCCCCATAAAAATTAACAGGAAGAAGTGCATTTAAACTGAAACATACTTTGTGCTTTACATGCAAAAGAGCATTCTAAAGAAAATCCTCCTAGCTTCAACCTACCTAAATGCACAGGCTTCATAAAAAGCATGTTTATTAGGCCTCTATAAAGAAGCCTTCATAATGAACAGCATCCAATAAAAAAAAAGGAGCATATTCAAAATAAAGACTGTGGCAAATAAACTATTAGCAAAAACAAATATCAAAGTGGCGGCCAGTGGCAATAAGTACAATATATAAATCTGGTTAAGTCTGGGGGCATTATTCTGAAATTATTTTAAGTAAATCCCAATTCCTAAATAAAATCTTTTTATAATTTTTAAAAAAACTCTGTCACATACTATATAGTCTAAATTCAATTACCTTCAGAATAAAACTACTCTCCTTCCCTTCATTTATCCAATTAGAACACTGCTCAAAGTGAAGGAGGGATTTAGAATTTTTTTTCCTTAGAAATGAATGAGAACAGCTAAACATTTGTAGTCTGACGGAATTTCAGTTTATCTTTTTAAAAGATTTCTTAAACATTCTAATGAGGGGGGAATTTTTTTTCATAATACTGCTGATTTAAGAACTGCTACATACACCAGCAGCCAAGTTTCATGATCAGAAATGGTATGATGTCAGCACAAAGGTTGAACTGGACACATCAGCTTTCCAACAGGAGAAACATCAATGCCATGTGAAGGCAGCACTGAATTTCCTGAACTAATGGCTACTTTTCCACAAAAAAATTAGCACAATCTTTATGGACTGACTAGATACCACTTCCTTACGTTTAATCATAAACTTTGATTATGCACAAAGCATGACCATAAACAATGAGGTTAATGTTATTTTCCTTGCCAAAGTTCATTTTGTATAAATCAGTTGCATCAGCTTTGTTCTCAAACTATAAGGTTCTGTAAGAACTAAGGACATATAGTTGTAGGGTTACTCCTCCATTATCTGCAAACTATTTCCCCGACACTAACACATATAACTTAGCAATGAAAACACTTGATACAAGTGATCTATATGCAGGAGCTCCGGCAAGTTAAACCAACAGAACCATAGCTGCCGTAAAACTGTAGCTATTTCCCTACCAGGAGTAGGTTTAAAAGACCCACTGATTTAACAGTCGAATCTCATGTCTATAGCTTCATCCAAACTTTTATCATCATGTGTACTGGCAGCTAAAAACGTCGTTACTGGGGACCCTGTGACATTTATTACACTGGTGCTGGTACTAGCATTACGTACAGCAATGCTAGTCACATTAATGCCCAAAGTAAGCCTGGTCTGCTCCAAGGCCTTTTCTGGCACAGCAAATGCCTCCAGCTTCTTCTCCCCATTGGCCATATAGGAGTTTTGGCATCCACGACATATACAATCTAAGCAGGCTTTGCGGTTAGAGTAGCAAGGGCAGCGTTGGCCTCGGCATGTAAGAACACTTGGATTTTGAGTAGCACGCCCACATTTACACCCTTTCTTTTCCTGGGGTTTTTTGTACACAGTCTTGGTAGGACTTCCTGGCATAAAATGATGACTAGGAATCTTTTCCTTTACTGCTTTGTCTTTTTTAAGAATACCTGGCTTGGTTTTAGAGTGAGATTTCTTGGATCCATGTTCATGACTCTTTTTCATGCTTTTAGTAGATAAAAGCACAGTTTTGCTGATTTTAGGCGTTGTGCCTCCATTGGGAACAGTTGCTATAGGTTGAAGAGAAATTTTGCTCTCCCGTTTCACTGTCACAGGAGCAGATGCCCCCAGTGTTGGGCCTCGGATAATGGTAGAAATTGGAAGTGGCTGAACTTTCTCACTGTCGCTCTCTGATCTGGATCGTTTTCTATTCAATTTTGCTACCTTCGGAGTTGCTGCTGTACATGATAACCCATGAAGTGCAGGACTGGTGGACATAAAAACATTATGGCTAAGAGACTGGGAAGAAAGCTGCAGAAAAGGTCCATTGGATACAGTGGCTTCCAAGTTTGGCTGCAAATTAGGGCAACAAACCTCTGTATTCGAAACAGTTTCTAAGCTGCGGAGTACTTCCTCAACACTCAGTAACAGAGAGTCTCCAGGTTTTATATCTTCACTGAAACTGCAGATATCAATGCCTGTGGAACATAAGTCAGTGGCTACTGTGTCACAAACAGGTGGCAGGCTGTCAGATAGATCCTCAGTTTTAATGTCAACAGTGTTACATACATCAATCGTATTTGAATGTTCAGGTGAAGGAATATTTATACCAAATCTATCTATTGAAAGCCCATTGTAAGTAGGCAAACCATTGATAACAGAACTGCCAATAGCAATGCTGAGGGTGCTTTCAGACATTGGAGATAAACTAGCTTGAGGATCGGTTGTGGGTTCTGAGGTTGAAGGTAAAGGGGAATGTGTCAAACACAAAGTAAAGGATGAATCTGAGGGTTTTTCTGTCTCCTCACAAAACAATGATCCATCATTAAGCAAAGCCAAAATATCAGAAGAACAGTCAACTGCTTCTATTATATCCCGTGCCAGTGTAGTCTGTGTTATATATTCACATAGTTTTTTGTAGCAGTTTACTAGGATGCTTAACTGCTTGTTTTCCTCAAACTGCTCATAGTCTTTGCACCAGCTACACGAAGGTTTCATCATCATTTTCTTGCCTTTACAAGTTTTGCAGACATAGTGTTGGCAGGTGGAGTTGGTGGGTGCAATAGGATCTTGTAGCAAATGTCCTAAGGGGGAGAAGGAGGAAAGCAAAGATTTTAGTAAAATAAATTTACCGTTTCATAAACTGAAGTTTAGATGACATAAGTAATCTGTCAAAATTAAGACGAACTAAACTCACTAAACCAGATAACAAAAAATATTATCTTAAAAGAAATGGAAGAATCCTCAATTAGCTCACTTCATTTCATGCCATATTCCCCATTCCTTTATCTCAAACTAAAATGATCCTTGATTCTGTGGCTCTCTCTCCAAGCAATATGTTCTGGTCCACCTTCTTATCCTCTTCCTCCAAAGGCTATAAAAAATAAAGTTGAAGAGGTGAAGATCAGAACCCAAAAGCACAAAGTAGGGTTAAAATCCTTTGGATAGCCAGGTGTGGTGGCGTGTGGCTGTAATCCCAGCTACTCAGAAAACTGAAGTGCAAGGATAGCTTGAGCCCTGGAGTTCGAGTCTACAGTGAACTATAATCCTGTTACTGCACTCCAGCCCAGGTGACAGAGCAAGACTCAGTCTCAAAAACAAACAAAAAAGTATTTTAGACCTTAATGTAACACAACATGGTAATGCTACAACATACTGAACCTGATAGCCCAAGGATGCAATGAGTCAAGATCACACCATTGCACTCCAAGCCTGGGCAACAAGAGCGAAACTCCATCTCAAAAAAATAAATAAATAAATTTGAAAAAAGAAGCGGCATCCATCTCAGGGAAACCTGGCCTTCAGCGATGACAGCATTCGGCCCCAGGAGGAGCCTGGAATTCGTCCTCAGTCTTCCCAGCTTGCGCTGCCCATGGGGATACAGAACAGTAAGGAGCAAAATAGAACCTGCTGCCTGAATGGGGGAACCTGCACGCTGGGGTCCTTTTGTGCCTGCCCCTCCTTCTACAGACAGAACTGTGAGCACGATGTGAGCAAAGAGAACTGTGGGTCTGTGCCCCATGGCACCTGGCTGCCAAAGAAGTGTTCTATGTCTAAATGCTGGCATGACCAATTCCGCTGCTTTCCTCAGGCATTTCTACCTGGCTGTGATGGCCCTTTGATGGATGAGCACCTCATGGCTACCAAAACTCCAGAATTACCACTACCACTGTCTGCATGTTACCACTTTTATGCTTTAAAATAATGAATACTTTTCCATAATGATCTCTAACACTTCCTTACTGTACCAACTACTTCTTCCCTCTTTGCTCTGCCCTCCCCCCAAAAAACTACTTTTTTCAAAGTCAGCCATACCTCCATTGTGCCCAAGTCCAGTACTTTTTTATACATGTAATTCTACCAAGGTTTTCTTAATATGTTAACTGAATTACATCTTCAGATTATTAAAGATTAATCCTAATGTGGAACTTAGGATACAGTTTTGAGTAGAGTTGATCAAAATCAATTAGTCTCTTTAAACGGAAAAAAAAGCCTCTTTAAGGAGAGGAACTAGAGTGCTAGTAAAGGAAGTCTGTCTGCATGTGGAAGGGAATGGGAAGCAAATGGGAGAGAGAGGCTGGAAAATATAAAATGGGTTACTTGACTGGTGATTAGGTGGGTGTAGAGAAGCAAGTTAAAAGGCTAAATGAAGGGCAAGTTTCCATCATCTATAAAAAGCTATGTAAGACAAGGACTTCCCCTTTTTTTTTCTAAAGGCAATGTAAAAAGAATGACATCTCCTTAGAAAAAAAAAATTATGCCTCAATGTCCCCAAGAAAACTGCTTAATAAATTAGGTTTTCTGCAAGCTATGCAATTATTTTAACTGCTGAAGAGAAAATGTTCACAACATATTTAGTCATAAACTGAATGATAAAACTACATATTTTATAGCCCATTTTAAATATACACTGTATATATGTGTATGCACAGTAAAGTGTGTGTGTGTGTGTGTGTTTATAAAGCAAGGTCTCAAGTCAATAACCAAACCTTTCTTTCACCTTAATAGGAATCCCAAACTAAGCAGGTTAAAGCAAATAATAAAGATGATAGCAGGCTGGCTGCAGTGGGTCACATCAGTAATCCCAACACCTCAGGAAGCTGAGATGGCGGATCACCTAAGGTCAGGAGTTTGAGACCAGCTTGGCCAACATGGTAAAACTCCATCTCTACCAAAAAGAATTATCCAAGCATGGTTCACACCTGTAATTTCAGCTACTCAGCAGCTGAGGCAGAAAAACTACCTGAACCTGGGAGGAGGAGGTTGCAGTGAGCCAAGATCATGCCACTTCACTCCCTCCCGCCTGGGCAACAGAGTCAGACTCTCTCTCAAAAAAATAAAATTAGGCCAGGTACAGTGGCTCACACCTATAATCCCAGCACTTTGGGAGGCCAAGGCAGGTGGATCAGGAGTTCAAGACCAGCCTGGCAAAGATGGTAAAACCCCACCTCTACTAACAATACAAAATTTAGCCAGGCATGGTGGCGGACACCTATAATCCCAGCTACTCGGGAGGCTGAGGCAGAAAACTGCTTGAACCCAGGAGGCAGAGGCTGCAGTGAGCCAAGATCAGTAATACTGTACTCCAGCCTGGACAACAGAACAGGATTCTGTCTCAAAAAAAATAAATAAATAAAAATACAGATTGGAGCAGAAACCAATAAAAGAGAAAGCAGAAAAACCTGAGAGAAAAGTAAGTAACACCAAAAGTTGGTTGCTTTAAAAGATCAAAGAGTTTGGCAAATCTTAATTGCTAAGTAAAAAAGAAAACAAAGATTACCGAAATCAGGAATGAAAGAGGTCAGAGTATCACTAGTGCCCTACAAGATGTGAAGAATTAAGAAAGCTCTATGAACAAGTTTATGCCAACAATTTTAGACTACTTAGATGAAATGGACAAATTTCTTTAAAGACACAAATGACCAAAATTGACTGAAGAAAGGTTTTAAAACTGAAGAGATCTGTAGTAAGTTTTAAATAGCTACTGAAGATTTTCCTCAAAAGAAGACTCCAGGGCTAAATGCCTTCACTAGTAACGTCTAACAAATAATTAAAAAGAACACCCAAACGCAGAGGAGGAGAAAACACTTCCCAACTCATATTTAAAGGCCAAACTACTCTGAAAATAAGGCCACCAGACAAAAAAAAAAAAAAATACAAACCAAAATCTCCCATAAACATAACAAAATCCATAACAAAACATTCAAGAGAATCTCACAGCATACAATACAATACCTATTCTCTCTCTCTCTCTCACACACACACACACGCACACATTAACAAACTAGAAATACAACTTTAACTTGGTGGTGGGCATCAATAAAAAAATCTAAAGCCAATTTTTCTTAAAGATAAAACACAATGCTTTCCTTCTAAAGATGAGGAACAAGGAATGGATGCCTGCTTTTGCTACTTCTTTTCAAAATAGTACCTGTTCTAGCTGGTGCAGTAAGGTTGAAAAGAAAAAAAATTAAAGGCATCAAGACTAAAAAGAAACAGGTAAAACTGTTTTAGTAATGGATTACACAATTCTGCTTAGAGAAAAATCTCAAGAAACGCACACACAAAAACTACTAGAACCAATAAACAAATTTAGCAAGGTCATAGCAGAAACAATATATACAAAAGTCCACTGCATTTTCCATTTTATATGCTAGGAATGAACAAATTATTTTAAAAATTCCATTCACAATAGCATCAAGAATATACACAAAATACTTTGTTAAAGTTTTTCTAAGACTTCTCTACACTCAGTACTGCAAAACACAACTGAGAGAAATTAAAGAGTATCTAAACAGACATTTCATATTCAAAGATTAGAAGACTATCAATATTGTCAGGATGGCAATTTTCCCTAAAATTGATCTATCTGTAAATTCAATGCAAAATCTCGGGCAGCTTTTTTTCTTAAAGAAATTGACAGGCTGATTCTAAAATTCATATGGAATCACAGAGGACAGGCAAAACAACTTTGAAAAACAAGGTTACAGGACTTACACTACCAAATTCTGAATTTTACTATAAAGCCATAGTAATCAAGACAGCATGGTAATGGCAAAAGTACAGACATATAGATCAATGGAACAGAAATCAGAATCCAGAAACAAATTATTACATTTATGGTCAACCCATTTGTTGGGTACCCAGATGATCCAATGGGGGAAAGAAGTTTTTCAACATATCATATGAAATAATTTGATATCCAAACACCAAAAGGAAAAAAAACCTTAGACCTGTACCTCACAACATACACAAAAATTAAAATGATGACAAACCTAAATGTAAGTTACAATACAGGAATTCTAGAAAAAAATCACAGGAGGAAATCTCTGTGACTCTCTATTGGCCAAAGTGTTCTTAGATGTGACATCAAATGCACAATCCACAAAAAAAAGAAAAAAAAAATAGTAAAATTGATTTTCTCAAAATTAAAAACTTACTGTACTTCAAAAGACATCATTAATGAAAAACTAGGCCAGGCGTGGTGGCTCACACCTGAAATCTCAGCACTTTGGGAGGCTGAGGTAGGCAGATCATGAGATCAGGAGTTTGAAACCAACCTGGCCAATGGGGCAAAACCTCATCTCTACTAAAAATATAAAATAAAATTAGCCAGGCATGGTGGTGCACATCTGTAGTCCCAGCTACTTGGGAGGCTGGGGCAGGAGAATCACTTGAACCCAGGAGTTGTAGTGAGCCAAGACCACACCATTGCACTCCAGCATGGGTGTCAGAGTAAGATTCTGTCTCAAAACACAAAAACGACAAAAAAAAAAAAACGAAATCAACAAGATGACAATATAATTTTAAAAGCAAAAATATAAATAAACATTTTGTCAAAGAAAATACATGAATGACTAATAAGCACATGAAAATACGATCAATATTATTAGTTATTAGGGTAAAACCATGGCACACTACTACCCATCCATTAGAATGGCTAAATTCAAAACCAGAATGCCAAAAGTTGGCAAAGATGGAACCCTTGTATATTGACAGTAAAATGTAAAATGGTACAATCACACTGAAAAATCCTTTGGTTGTTTCTTTAAAAGTTAAAATATAAATTTACCACAAAACCTGGCAAAATTATCCATTTCTAGGAACTTGCCTAAAGAGAAATAAAAACACATCCACACAGAAAAAATGGCAGCATGATGGCCAAAAATTAGACACAATCCAAATGTCCATTAATTGGTGAGTGAATAAACAAAATGTATATTCATGCAATGGAGTTCAGCAATTAAAAGGAATAAAGTATTGGTACATTCCACAACATGGATGAACTTCCAAAACATTTGCTAAGTAAAAGAAGCAGATACAAAAGAGTACGTATAATGCCCAGAAATGACAGAAAAGCAGAAAACCTGGTTGCCTAGGGCTGAAGAGTGGAGCAGGCATTAACTATAAATGGGCACAATGGATGAAAGTGTTCTAAAATCATATTGTGGTGATGGTTACACAACTCTAAAATTTAAAAAACACTAAGACAAGGCACCGATAGTTACAGAATCCAACCTTCTACCCAATGCCAATGCAAGGATCCCTTAAAGAGTGCCGTTAACTTCCTCTAAGGAAGGACATAGGGGATGTGAAGGCGAAAAGAAAAAAACATACTACAAACCACAGTGCAAGTTAAAGAAAAAATAAAAATAAATAAAAATACATATATTAAAAGACATATATATTATACATATACATATATGTATGTATGAAATATACACAGACATATATATATATATATGGCTTAAAAGAATAAACCCTAAGGGGAAAAAAAAAAATCCCAGCAGTTTGAGAAGCCAATGTGGGTGGATCGCTTGAGCTCAGGAGTTTGAGACCAGCCTGGGCAATATCGCAAAACCCCATTTCTACAAAAAAATACAACAATTAGCCATGTTCGGTGGCATGAACCTGCGGTCCCAGCTACTCAGGAAGCTAAGATAAGAAGATGGCTTGATCCTGGGCCAGAAGTTGCAGTAAGCCGAGATCACACCACTGTGCTCCAGCCTGGGCAAGAGAGTCTGCCCCTCTTTCAAATACAAAATAAAAGGGCTACCAATTGGGAGGGAGAGATAGGACAAAGTGAAATAGGAAAAGATTATTCTAAGTTTAAGCTTATATATTTTACTTCCAAACCATGTAAATATTTTATATAATAGCATAACAAAACCAAAATGTTACACGATATCTCTAAAAACCAAAACAAAATAAACAAACATAATTTTATATCAAATTGGTGGTATAACAATCCAAAGAGTAACTATTTCAAATGACTATAACACAGAAAATTGGCTCAATCCTTGGGATCCTCATTTTTGTTTTCAGTAATAACATTGTTGCTGGCAGTGTTGACAGTAATTATAAAAGTATTGGTGTGTACCCTGGGATTAAAAAGTCAATGTTAATACCTTGAGGACTTGGATTTCTTTTCAGTAGGAATGAGGAATAAAGTTGTGAGAGAGAAAATGTTACATTTAAAAATCCTGTAGACCTAAAATAAATAAATTTCAACTGGACTTACCATTATAAACTCATGTTTTAACAGAGAGAGAGAGAGAGTGTGTGTGAGAGTGAAAGTGAGACACAAAGAGAGAGAGAATGAGTGTGTGTGTGTGAGAGTGTGTGTTTATTTATTTCCTAGCACTATCCATTGAAAAGGCCTGGAAACAAGGACCAACCCCAACAGCAATGAATACAGATGACAGGATTGAAAAACAATTTCCTTTTCAAAGGAATCAGGGCTTCTTGGACAAATGGCTAATTTCAATTTTGTGCCATAAATTGCACAAGAGGAATTCTGATCACCTTACTATGCCAGAAAACATAGAAACTATCAAAGATCAAGACTCAGGGGCAAACATGAAGAGGTTCCCACTGACCAAAGACAAGAAAATCTAAACATGCAGGATAGAGTTAGGCTTTGTGTCCCCACCCAAATCTCATCTTGAATTGTAATCCCTATAATCCCTATGTGTCAAGGGACAGACCAGGTAGAGATAACTGAATCATGGGAGCAGTTTCCCCTGCTGTTTTTGTGATGTTGAGTTCCCATTAGATCGGATGTTGTTTGTTTGTATGTTTGAGAGGGAGTCTCGCTCTGTTGCCAGGCTGGAGTGCAGCAGCACAGAGATCTGACGCTTTTATAAGAGGCTCTTCCTCACTTAACTCTCTCCTTCCTGCCACCATATGAAGAAGATGCCCTGCCTTCCCCCTTCCTGAAGGAAATAGCTAAGTTCTTCCTCAGATGAAACATACTGCATCTCCTTGCTCTAGCATTAAGCAGCCTGACTCCATTTGCTTCATAGCAGACATGGCCAGGCAGGCCCTTTATTCAGGTAGATCAAGTCTTTCCTAAGTAAACTTCCTCTTTTCTTTGTCATTTTCTGCCCCTTACCTATTTAAGCAAGTTTTAAAGTATTAGCAAATCAGGTCTAGTTTAGACTGTGAAGTCCAGCTCCAGCCAACAGATGCAAGACACAGCAATAAAAACCCAACTACATAAAAGATAAATAAATATTTTCACCTTTCCTTTGTTCATTGTACTCTCCTGGCAAGATTGCTAGTGAGTAGCACCCTTTCGGCAGAAAGTAAAATCGCCTTGTTAAGAAAACTTATCGTCTAACTGCTAATTCTTCTTAGCAACACCAGACAATAAGTATTTAATTTAAACAAAGTTGGTGGCCCATACCTTTCACCTTTCCCTTAGTTAAGTGCCCTTGCTGCAGAAAGTAAAATCGCCTTGCTAAGAAAACTTATAGTGTAAGTGCTAATTCTTCTTAACACCACCAGAGAATAAGCATTTACTTCCAACACTTTCCCTTCGGCCAAGATTGTATAAATTTCCTAAGGCCTTCCCAGCCATACTGTATGGTGAGTCAAACTTCTTTCCTTTGTAAATCACCCAGCCTCAAGCAATTCTTTGTAACAGTATGAAAACAGAATACAATGCATAAATGCAATGAAATGAGGCACATCTAAAATGTTCAAATTTGAGTTCATTTTTTAAAAAAGAAAATCAGTTTCAGGATACTAGTGAAGAAGCTCATGAGTCTGAAAACTAGTAAATAAGATCAAGAATCAAGTATTTGTCCTAATGAAACTTCATGAAATATACCACCAAATAACCAATCATGGATAAGTTTCTCTTCACAAGAATAATCCAGCTAATATGTTAATCAAAACCTCCCCTAATCATGAAGCACCTCAAAGGATTCATACTTTACTTTACAGGTTACTCTTAGGAGAGTAACCATGTCAACTGTTGAGAACTGAAAATAAGTTAGAAAACAAAAAACCTCAGCTCCACAGATTGCCCACCATTCCCCACCACAAATATCTGAAACTTAAAGATGCCCACAGGCAAACTTTCTTCATGAACTCAGCTAACCACCCTAACACTTAAAAGCTTCCCCAAATGTTCTCTATATACCTCACAATGAAGGCAGCTCCAATGTCAGAAATAGGAAAAAAGAGTCATTCAGAAACTTCTTAGCTGGGATCATGGTTAACCAAATATCTAACTATATGTCTCTAACGAATCTCCCACCTCCAACTTAAGAAAATACCAGACAACATACTTAAATTTGTAAAAAATGCATCTTATCCTAGAAAATAAAATGGATGGGCAATATGCACCAAGGGGAAATATGTTAGTCACTGGTAGATTCTCTTATAAAAACTGTGTAGTGTTTAAGGAAAGGTTTGATTTACCTTAAATCGTGTTCCATATAGTTACACACACAAATACAAAAATACTCACTCAAAATACACACCTTCAGACTTTTTAAAAAATGTAAAGATCATGACCAAAAAAAATTTCTCACTTCAGTGCCCTGAAACCTTATCTGCAACATCTCACAATTATCTTCCTTTCCATAATTTAAGTGGACATGTAATTAAATGATACTTATGTGTGCCCTGTCTAAACAAATGTGACATTGACCCTAAAAATAATATTCATTTTTGTGCCTCAACATTTTAATTTTTATGTTTTTAAGTTACCAATTTTTTATTTACACTGCTTTTCCCCAAGACAGCCAATTTTAAATTTAAGATTAAGACACAGTTTTAGAATACCACAATGCTAATTTTTGGAATTTCTGGGAAAATATAACTTGGTAATTGACTATGAAAATTAATATCAGATGTTTAATGCTCTTAACGAGTGAATCTTTTTATTATGGTGACATCAAACAGACAAAACCAGAACATAATACAAGTAACCTCCATATACTAATAACCCAGAACAATTATCACGATAATGCCACATTTAATTCACCTACTCATCTTCTTTTATTTAAATATTTCAAAAAGCAAATCCAGACATCGTTGTTTTTTGTTTTTTTTTTTGAGATGGAGTCTCGCTTTGTTGCCAGGCTGGAATGCAGTGGTGCCATCTTGGCTCACCTCCCAGGTTCAAGTGATTCTCTTGCCTCAATCTCCCAAGTAGCCCAGCCAGTTTTTGTATTTTTAGTAGAGACAGGGTCTCACCATGTTGGCCAGGATGGTCTCGATCTCTTGATCTCATGATCCGCCTGCCTCAGCCTCCTAAAGTGCTGGGATTACAGGCATGAGCCACTACGCCCAGCCAGTATCATTAATTTTTTAAACCAGGTTAAGATTTAATTGTTAATGGGTACAAAAACTAAAAGAATGAATAAGACCTAGTATTGACAGCATAACCAAGTGACTATAGTCACTAATAATCGTACATTTAAAATTAAAAGAGTACAGGCTGGGCACAGTGGCTTATGCCTGTAATCCCAGCACTTTAGGAGGCCAAGGTGAG